GGCCTGCTGGCTCCCATGGAAGTCGCAGAATACATTAAAGTTTATTAGACAATAATAATAGTGTTTTTCTATCGGGTAGGCAGACTAGCGAAGGGTCGCGTCTAGGGTTGACAGGCTCAGAAACACAACAACCGGACTCGGTGCTTAGTTTGGACGGACATTTACCCTAAAACCCGGACATACTTTTTTTAACCATGTCACGGGGAGGAGGAGGTGCAACTACCAACTATCACACCACATGAGTGACTACCAACTATCATCATCGGTAGCCCAACATCCTGATAAGCACGTGTGCTAGGTATTATTCTGTGGCTCGACTGGCACGGCAGCCACATAAAAAAGCCGGACACCTAGCAACCCTAATCGCGTCGCAACCCTGTTCATAGACTTAAGACGCCGAAGCGGCTGAATGATTCAACTTGAATTGGACTTATGGTCCTTCGAAGTATGTAAATATACTTATTACTTACTAGGTTGATTAAACCCCCACACTCCCAAACTGCTAACAATGTTCAAGTTAATTTGCAATGAGTGTGTAACGTGTGTCCTAAGTGGTACCCAGTAACATTGAGCTCTGAAAGTAGCGCACTTCTGATTAGAAACAAATGGAGGATACACCTTGGTAGTTAATGTAAAATCTTTATTATTATGTTACGAATGAACTATGATCACAAAATACAGTTTTTAAATGTATGTAATTTTGCAAGATCTAAAAGATCTTTGCTACACATGTTAAAGAAAAGGTCACGCGTAAAACAGTTCTATAACATCTGCTATAACTTCGGCTCAAAAAACAAGTTGAAGGCCAAGCATTAATATTATTTCGTGAATGTCTCTATCCCTGTAATAATGATCCCGTGACTAATAGTTTTGCCGTAGATTCCTACTTTTATTTCTCGATTAGAGTCTAATCCGTTTATTGAATTCGATATCCAATCGATGGAAAATACCGAAAACGTCAGCCTTAGAGAAAACAAAATCGATTGTCGCCGTTTAACAAGTGGTCTTTAACTGTTGATAGTCATTAATCATTGAAATAAAGTGAGCCTTAGAATAAGCATTGGTAGGTACCAATGTGTGACCAAAGGCGTCAGACAATCGATCGGCAGTCGGCACCATTCTGGGCCGCAGACATATTAGATGGTGTCATTACTCAGGTATTGTTGTTTGTTACCTGAGGCAGTATATGAGCTTTATGTTTCAGTGTGAAGACCTGAAATGTGAACCGAATTATTACCTACTGAAATGTCTTGGTATAATTTCATCTCATCTTCCGTGATAGCAAAGCAACCTTGGTCTAATTCTTTGATACTTAATACTTAAATAACATTTATTCTTGTGTCAGGGTCTCATCTTCCAGAACTGTTTTATTATTAATGCTTAGGTATTTTTTTATTTCATGAACAATCATACGTCTAACATTACAGGTTTCCCCAAGATTTTTATTATGTATTTATTAAGCCTGTAGCAATTATCACCAAAATTTTACATACAAACATAGGTTTAGTTAAAATAAAAACTACTTTTGAAATTAACCTACTGTGACGCTTGTAGCCTAGTCTTATTTGTAAGTAACAACAAGCTGAATATATCAGCATAATCTGTCTCTAGATTCTAGATAGTTCAGATTGGGTTTGTACCGATAAATCATTCTAATCGATGTTTCCATTAATAAATAACTGATTATGATTGATAAATATAGCGTGTTCTTTAATATCAAGATGATCGCTATCTCTATGCAAAACTAAAAAAATATTTAATGCCTCGACCTACTTCGTTAATGATCGATTTACCTACCATGTTCTGAAGTTCTGAATATTCTCGAAATCAGTTTCATTTTCATGCTCCTTCAGTTCAGCATAAAAATCTTTAGATTCAGTTTCCAACTAAAGTACAAGATGACATAATAATATAGAGCTACAAAGAAGTTAAACAGAAAAGTTTTTCAAAAGACTAATTGCCACAGCACTACTTAATTTTTTTATACAGATCAGATCGTCGTAACGAACCCTTGAAGAGTGACATCTGACCAGATATACCTCTCCACTAAACCACCCGCACAGTTCCTTCAGACCGCTATCAGGAGACTGATCACATTTTCCCTTCACTCCTTCCCTCATCATCATCATTTCAGCCAGGACGTCTACTGCTGAACATAGGCCTCCCCCAATGATTTCCACAAAGGCCGGTTGGTAGCGGACTGCATCAAGCGCCTTCTTACTACCTTTATGAGGTCGTCGGTCCACCTTGTGGGTGGACGTCCTACGCTGCGCTTTCCGGTACACGTGGCCTCCACTCCAGAAGCTTGCTTCCCCATCGGGTCCCCTCTTTCCCTATTTACGAGTTCCTCATGTTTTATACTCATTTGTGCCACCCATGAAATTGAACTAGGGACCTTTATACGCATGAAATCGATTCCACACTCGACGAAGCGTTATAAATACACGCATTTTTATTGACAATGTTTACACAAGTATTCTCCGAAAACAATTTTGCAGCTTCACTGCCTTTTTCAGTTACAATGTTAAATATACGAATCGAGAGGGATTGTAGGGTGGCAACGAGTTGGAATTATTTAGAATTTTAAGGTTAAATGGCTGTTTCAAATTAGTCGCTTTTAGCAAAACGATAGTCGTGCAAGAGCGTAACTGTTGGTAGGTAATTTTCATTTTCAAATTTTCCAACCCAGTTTTCCGTGTGCAAAACGGAAAGCTAACTAAAGTCCGGTTAAAAACGTCTATGTTGAAAAGGCTATAGTGTGAGTTAAAAACTTAAACCAGTTCTATCTGCTTATTGCGTCATGAGGACCACGAAAAAGTTTATTGTTGCTTAATTGGTCTAACATTTTTAACATTAGGTTGATTCTGTTAGTTTTTCAGTGTCACTTCACATGACACCCAGCAGATTCGATATTTGTAGAATAACTTACTAATGTATTAAGTATCTTGGTCAACGATACAGCACCGCAAATTATTGAATAGATATTTCAATAATTAAATATAAATTGACATTAGTTACTGGTTTTGTTAAAACAACCTGCAAATTTTCCACGTTTTTCCTAAACATCCACATCTGACACTGAGCCATGGCCATCCTACCTGTGTGTCAGTCAATTATTGGGCGCGCTCAGTGGAAAACTTGAGTGTCTGCCACCAGCCGCCAGCGGCCAATGATCCATGGGATTGTGATCCACTCCACGTTTGACGTGAATTACCAATCCCTCCAATGTTGTGTGGGTTTCCACTAGTTGCTTCTAATCTAAGATTTGTTAGTAGAATTTGGTTTTTGTACTGAAAATCTAAATTAATTCCACTCAGCATGTGTTTCGGTTTGTTAGCAAATGGATTGGTTAATTAAATAAACTTTTCAAAAATCTGTCAAACTTCATACAAAAAACGCCGATTGTCGTTTTAGTTGCGGTTAATGTAGACGGTGCATCTCGGCCTATGAGGCTTGTCAAATGCAAACAGTACCTAAATCTTCATGATTGGAAGTAGCACCTCACCAAGACTAGCGAATAATGCATTCGATTCGGCTATTGTTGTACACGGCACATCAATAAAACAGTTTGCCTTATCACGGGAGTCGAACCCATTGCCTGCAGTCTACAGTCGTGTCACGCGCGCATCCAGCCATTGGCGCTTACAAACGCCCATTCTATGGCCACTGATATATCGTAACCAAATATTGGAAAATACATTTTGAGCTCTATCGTAATTGTAAGTAGAGTTGAATTTGCAATGATATATTGGCTCCAGTCGCGAATAAAATGGGTAATTAATTTTTGGTGTTATGTTTGTTTTGCGTCGTGTGCCCTCGACGGGTGACACGCTAGTGGCGCCATCTCAAACAAAAGATCAGATTTCAAGATTATAATTAATTCACAATATTTCAGAATCGACAACTTATCTCTTTAGTTGAAATTGAAAAAGATTTTCTCGCTGTCTCAAACAGGAGCATTAAATCGTCGTCTATTTTTAAACTTAATTGATTCTAGATCCTTATGTATTTTTTTCTATAGAACTCTGGAGACAAATCGATAGTAAGTAAATTGTTATCCAAAATAGAAATCAGGTAGTTTGATTGCTCGTCTCGACATCCATTTGTTTAGCCTACCTATTTGTTGTTTCCATTAAACGCTGAAAGCTTGTGGACCTGACAGACCTCTACCTATTGATTGGCAAGATTTGCCGCTCTTATTTGTATTGATTCGACCGTAGTTTCTGTACCTAACTGATCACAAATAAGCTTGTATACATATTGGGGGTGTACTCCGGAACGCGTTTTCTTTTTTCTCGGCTGTTTCTCACTTTCCCTCTTGACTATATTTTGGCATGTGTGAAAGAGACGAAGCTTAATCAAGAATATGTTGTTCCGGAATAGGAAGCCAGCTACAAGTCGTCTTGTTTGACACGGGTTCGAACTTAAAAGGATGGCTCGATCGAACTTGCCCTCGGGAGAATTGTGAATGTTTTTGATTGTAACTCGGTAAAGATAAGAAAAATATCGCGTGTAGGAAAATCTTTGACATATTATTATTTATAAAAGATCAAGAAAAGGGATTCTACTTGGATTTTAGAAGATTCATGAAAAAACATTTGCATGAAATGTCGAAACTTGCAAGATTGTCTGCAACTTAATTGAAAAGTCCATATTTCTTTTTTATTTATCTTTTATAAAAATGCTTTTCAATAAGAACTAGGCCCAAACGAAAGATTATGTATAGATAATAATATTCGTACCAAAAAATATTTAGCATGACAGTTTTTTGCCCAATAAAGTTTGGACTGATATTTCTGAATGGGTATTATTCCGATCTAGGAATAGGAACACCCCAATCCCCATGCTATGAAAATAAATATAGATACTGCTTGGCTCCATATTATGGAAATCCTTGAGGAGGCCTTTGTCCAGTAGTGGACGTTAATAGACTGAAACGAACGAACGAACTGCTTGGTTATTTGAACAATGTTTAACATATTTTTCCTTCTTGTCCGCAGGTATAAAGTGTCCGGTGTGCAGCAAGTTCGTGCTGCCGGACGACATCGAGTGCCACCTCGTCATGTGCCTGACCAGGCCACGGCTGTCCTACAACGGTCAGTAGCTTTATTACTCTCTAAAATAAGTTACTTATTTTTTGCAATTAGGGTTTTCGCGTATGAAAAATCCGCCAGATGGCAATACAGTAGACGCAAGGTCCAGATGCTGCATGATTGGTTATTTTTGACATGACATTGACAGATATGTCAAAATCCACCAATCACGCAGCAGTCAGACCCCACATCCACGTCCCGCCATCTAGCGGATCTTTCATACGCGAAAACCCTCATTAGGCTTTTTAACGTCCTATTTAAACTTTATTAAAATGAATGGGTCAAGTTAAACATTAATAATTAATAGATCAAGAATAAAAGTCTCCTTACATACGTATGCCGTTCCTAAATGCTCCTTTTCTTATGGCTTGACTATTAATTATCACATTCACACTTACAGCCACTTTGAATATGATTATCTGTATAACTCGTAAAGTTAGAGAGAGTTATATTGCCAATGCAATATCTGAGAGCAATTGAGATAGTTGCTGACTTACCCAATTAGAAAGCCTTTTGAGAGCTACTATGGTGAACATCCCCAATTCAGTAGCTTCTGTTTAGATTTCATTGCATACGCTGACACACAATTAAATGTCCTTCTAGCCATTGCAAGAAAGAACTAACAGGACATGAACGATTTGGTAGAGTATTATAAAAATTATGCATGAAAACCGCGACTTTTGCGAATATTCTTTTTGATTCGCTCTGCTGAACATGTAAATTCGCTGCTCCAATGCATTTCATAATTCATCCCTGAGAGCGACGAGCAGCGAACGATAGAATGCTTTAGTGCATTATGTTCGCCTTATGTACAAATTTATTTTGGCATAAAAGTTTAAATAAATAAATAAATAGAAGCATAGAAACTGCTTTTTTAAAATACATCAGAGCGCATTAAAATAATGAACGAACGATCGAGCTGACTTGATGTTCGCGAGGTTTTAATATTCTCGGAATCTTTATGAACATAATTTTACCTAATACGAAGTGAAAGCTAGATAAGTAGAGCTGACTCAAACGTTTAAGTAAAGTTTGGCAGTGTAAGGCCTTTTACGGCAGCTTTTTGAGATTACATGACTAATGATCGCCACGTTTATTTATATTAAGATCGTTATTCGTTATCAATATCGTCATAGCCCGATTGAACGCCAGATTAACTGTTAGGTAGTTTAATTAATTAACCATTAAAATATTCAGTAGATAACTTTTCACATTACATCAGATAACAGGCGACGAGTCCATTAGCAGCGTGAATGCGATATGCCATAATATTTCCCTACTACGAGTATTTACTTCATTCGGCCCAAACAGACCAGTTTCCAATTCATTTGCGACGTTTGTAGGATGATGACGAGTGGCAAATAAAGTTGATTACAGAGGCCCCAAATGAATTATTGTGACGTGGATAACCTTTGACTAGGTATAATTTGTGCATCTTATGTACGTTCAGGTTCCAGGATTCCTACTGGTTGTTGTCGATTCAAAAACATAATTTACTGACATTTTGAGCTATATATTGACATTTAAATCTTTGGACTTAATAATAGGCTTTTAACGTGAGGTACCTTTTTCAATCTTATTTTCTGACCACTTATTTTCCTTTAACTCGTGGGCGGGTCCACCCAAATACCAAACTTTTACTTACAAACTTGTGCCCATTAGCTGTTTATGACACCATCTAAAGACCCGATTGTGATTTATGGAAGAAAGTTCAGGAATAACCTCTACTATACCCTTTTCGTCAGTTATCTACTATGCCATTTCGTTTGGTATTTACTAGCCTCTTGTACCCATCTCAAAGATGACAGCCATGCTAATTTATTAAGATACGTACCCACTCGGTTTGTGTATGAATTAATTGAGCGTTTAAAAAGTAAGGTCAAAGATTATGTACACGATAATAAAATGAAAGCACAAGCTTTGCTTACTTTGGGACTAGATACGCCATCTAGAGTTTGAAAAATTCCAAAGACAATTTATTCCACAGTATTTAGGCCACAGTTCCAGCTACCCATTTCCATTTTTCTCTCGCTCTCATCAAATGGTGATTCTTGGCGATAGAAAAAGACGACATGCCTAGAAATGGGTAGCTGGAACTGTGGCTGATAGTACTTCATTATTAAATGAAACCTATTTGCAATGTTTCAGAGGACGTGTTAAACGACTCGAAGGGCGAGTGCGTGATCTGCCTCGAGGAGCTGTCGGCCGGAGACACCATCGCGCGCCTGCCCTGCCTCTGTATCTACCACAAGGGGTCAGTACCACCATTGACCATTAGCAGCAGCCCAGGCCAACAGCAGGCCTAGGATGCGCGCCACGATAAACTTTGGTCAAAGCATTTTATCGGTTCCTCGTGATAAGCCCATACATTTGTCGTCTAAAATCTTCGATAAGATCTTATCACGCCGCGACGCGCATCTTAGCCCGGCAGTAGGTCTAAGATGCGCGCCGTGATAACGTTTATCGACGTCAAAATGTATGGGAAAAATCGATAAAATGGCGTGATAACCGCTTATCGCGGCGCGCATCTTAGGCCTACTGGAGTCTGGACAGTCTCACTCAGTTACAAAACCAGCCCAGTCAGCAACTCTTATTCAAGCATTAGGTATCCCTTACCTAATAAAAAGTGACATCATGTTGAAACTAATTTAAAATAACATTTCCACACTAAACGACACTTTAAACCAATGTTCAACGCGCGTGTTACTAAGGGAGTTTGTGTATAACATTGGGCGCATAATCTTCACCTCAACTGTGTTTGGTGATGATAAACTAATCTTATATTAACATAGAAATTGAGTCAATATAGCCTAATAATCACAGAGTAAAATGTTAAATAAAAACAATTTATAACAGCGAACAAACTTCAAAGCGAAAAGAGCTATGGAAAATGTGCATTTCTTTCGAAATATCCCAAGACTTGATGAAAAATATTTGCAAGTCAACCAGTTCTACCTGGTTGACTTGCGTGGTTGAGTCTGGAATATAAAATGTAAGTTTTCAGCGACGGAGCTGAAGGTATTTGAAAAATTCGATAGCTGTAAGTTGTTCAGGAACGCTAGACTAGAAAGTGCGCCCTACATCGCCAAGTGGCGCTTAAAGGCGCAGGGCTGCTGTCCTTTTGTGTCGAAGCTTCGCTATTTTATTTATTTACTTTCTCGACTAGCTCCGTTTGGATTTAGTTCGTTCCAAAAAGACTTATGTATCATCGTATATCCCATAAAACAATATTGTTTTGATTACAATTTTAACTGAAAACTACAGCATCACCTGAAAATTCATTCTGAATTACTGAAAGAAAATGTCAGATGAGAGAAAAATAATATTTTCCATACAAGAACTGTAAGAAAGTCAATGTTATGATTAAAGCCTTGATCACACGTACCGACCGAGTAAACGGGCGAGACAGTGCTGTCTCCATACGATACCAACCGAATTGTACAAAACAAACACCGAGTACTCGGCCGAGAGCACTGTCTCGCTCGTTTACTCGGTACATGTGATCAAGGCATAAATTATATTATTATCTATCAGTTTTCTTTTCTATCTCTGCAATAAACATTTTATTTAGTACCTAAATTATGAATATTATCTGGACAGCCCTGTTCGCGGCCTATCAAAGGGCCGATAAGCGCAGGGCCGCATGTAGGGCGGCAGACGGCGTGTTGACCCATCGAGATAGGCCCCCGGTAACGAGATGCTCTCGATAGGGCTTCCCTCTTCACAAGTTTTGTAGTGCTAGCTAGAATGGGGTATGAAGATGGTTGTTTGCCTTGCTTATTACCAGGATGATAACACTATTTTGTCATGGTTTAGGTTGTTTATGCACATGTTTCATAGGTACTAAAAACTCGAAACTAAAAAAAGATATGATAAGCATAACCCTCCTTCAATTACTCTCGTATTCACAAACGATGCTTGCTTATGTCAAGCAGCAAATCGAACGCACAGCGTTGAATAGAGCACTGTGATTGGTTCGTGTGTGACCCTGTGCATCCACGCGCACTGTGAGACCTCATAGTAATGATTGTGAAAAGGGGCGTTAGTCGCGTAAAATATAATATTTATGAGTTGTTCTTTGACCTATAGTTTTAACAAATGTGCCTTTACACTTATTTAATTTTAATTGTTTCTCTCTCTCATTACAGATGTATAGACCAATGGTTTGAAGTGAACAGATCGTGCCCCGAGCACCCCGGCGACTAGTGGCCCGGCTGCCGCCTGCCCCGGCGGCCCGGCAGGCTCCGGCGGCCCGGCAGGCCCCGGCGGCCCGGCAGGCTCCGGCGGCCCGGCAGGCCCCGGCGGCCCGGCGACGCCCCGGGCCCGGCCCGCGGGCCCCCCACGTGCCATGTCGCGAGTGATAATTTTATACAGACAGACTTTGCCCCCGGGGCGTGTAAATATTTATGCTAGTGAGATGTTTTACCATTTAATGATTAAAATGATTAAAAACAAAGACATTATAGTAAATCGCTAATGGGAAATTCTCGGTGGAGTATTAATGATACTATTAATTGTAAATTTTACATCGTTACTCTTTAGTTAAACGCAATATTGAAAGTTTGTTTTTTAATTTGATATGTATGTATAATGTGTATCGTACAGTTAGGATTCGGTTATGAGCAAGGGTTATGTTATGCAGTCCTGTGATCTACGCGGTTTACATATCTGTTTCGTAAGCTTATATATAATATATGATTTGATCTTTTTCATCTTGATAATAAAGTTGATTTGTTTCTAAATTTTCGAAGATNGGAAGAAATTAAATACATTGCGCAGTAGTTGAGCATGACATAAAGTGGTTGCTAACTAAATCGTCAATGTACAAGCGTGTTAGAATTTTTATCACCACTGATTTCGATATCGCAGTAACTGTTACGGCACTGAATTCGTTCGTAATAATGTTTATTTTTTTTTATTTATAAGCAAAATACCAATGGATTTGCAATACTTACATGTAGTAAATGACTCCATTGTTCCTGTAGTTCTTCGTTTCACTTGTTTTATTGCACGTAACGACGCATTATCCAAAATATCGGAGAACATTTTCTTAGTACGACTGAATCGCGACTAACCTAGCTACGCGGCCGATGTTCGTTTCTGGGCATATCGCGGAGACACGCGCCACGCCCCCGTTTCACATCTATTCCCTTCTATGATCTGAGATCGTAACCAACTATTGGAAAATACATTTTGAGCTCTATCGAAATTGCGAGTAGAGTTGTATTTGCAATGGTATATTGGCTACAGTCGCGAATAAAATGGGTAATTCATTTTTGGTGTTATGTTTGTTTTGCGTCGTGTGCCCTCGACGGGTGACACGCTAGTGGCGCCATCTCAAACAAGAGATCAGATTTCAAGATTATAATTAACTCACAATATTTCAGAATCGACAACTTATCTCTTTAGTTGAAATTGAAAAAGATGTTCTCGCTGTCTCAAACAGGAGCATTAAATCGTCGTCTTTCTTTAAACTTCATTAATTGAATCTAGGTCCTTTTTTTCTATAGAACTCTGGAGACAAATCTATAGTAAGTATATTGTTATCCAAAATAGAAATCAGGTAGTTTGATTGCTCGTCTCGGCATCCATTTGTATAGCAGGCACCTATTTACCTATTTGTTGTTTCCATTAAACGCTGAAAGCTTGTGGACCTGACAGACCTCTACCTATTGATTGGCAAGATTTGCCGCTCTTATTTGTATTGATTCGACCGTAGTTTCTGTACCTAACTGATCACAAATAAGCTTGTATACATACTGGGGGTGTACTCCGGAACGCGTTTTCTTTTTTCTCGGCTGTTTCTCACTTTCCCTCTTGACTGTATTTTGGCATGTGTGAAAGAGACGAAGCCTAATCAAGAAGGTGTTGTTCCGGAATATGTAGCCAGCTACAAGTCGTCTTGTTTGACACGGGTTCGAACTTAAAAGGATGGCTCGATCGAACTTGCCCCCGGGAGAATTGTGAATGTTTTTGATTGTAACTCGGTAAAGATAAGAAAAATATCGCGTGTAGGAAAATCTTTGACATATTATTATTTATAAAAGATCAAGAAAAGGGATTCTACTTGGATTTTAGAAGATTCATGAAAAAACATATGCATGAAATCTCGAAACTTGTAAGATTGTCTACAACTTAATTGAAAAGTCCATCTTTCTTGTTTATTTATCTTTTATAAAAATGCTTTTCAATAAGAATTAGGCCCAAACAAAAGGTTATGTATAGATAACAATATTCGTACTTACCAAAAAATATTTAGCATGACAGTTTTTTGTCCAATAAAGTTTGGACTGATATTTCTGAATGGGTATTATTATTCCGATCTAGGAATAGGAACACCCCAATCCCCATGCTAAGAAAATAAATATAGATACTTCGCTCCCGCGCAGGACCGGTCAGTATGGAAATCCTTGAGGAGGCCTTTGTCCAGTAGTGGACGTCATTTGACTGAAACGAACGAACTGCTTGGTTATTTGAACAATGTTTAACATATTTTGTTGTTGTCCGCAGGTATAAAGTGTCCGGTGTGCAGCAAGTTCGTGCTGCCGGACGACATCGAGTGCCACCTCGTCATGTGCCTGACCAGGCCACGGCTGTCCTACAACGGTCAGTAGCTTTATTACTCTCTGAAATAAGTCACTTATTTTTTGCAATTAGGCTTTTTAACGTCCTATTTAACCGATTGAGTCCCAGACGGCATTAATTAATGTCATAACAATTGATTATCTATTGTGTCTAGATTCGCGGAGCTTGAAGGATTAAACTTTATTAAAATGAATGGGTCAAGTTAAAAATTAATCATTACTAGATCAAGAATAGAAGTCTCCTTACATACGTATACCGTTCCTAAATGCTTCTTTTGCAGCTTGACTATTAACTATCACATTCACACTTACAGCCACTTTGAATATGATATCTGTATAACTCGTAAAGTTAGAGTGAGTTATATTGCCAGTGCAATATCTGAAAGCAATTGAGATAGTTGCTGACTTACCCAATTAGAAAGCCTTTTGAGAGCTACTATGGTGAACATCCCCAATTCAGTAGCTTCTGTTTAGATTTGATTGCATACGCTGACACACAATTAAATGTCCTTCTAGCCCTTGCAAGAAAGAACTAACAGGTCCATGAACGATTTGGTAGAGTATTATAAATTACATGAAAACCGCGACTTTAGTGAATATTATTTTTGATTCGCTCTGCTGAACATGTAAATTCGCTGCTCAAATGCTTTTCACAATTCATCCCTGAGAGCGACGAGCAGCGAACGATGGAAGCATAGAAACTGCTTTTTAAAATGCATCAGAGCGCGTTAAAATAATGATCGAACGATCGAGCTGACTTGATGTTCGCGAGGTTTTACCAATCTCGCAATCTTTATGAACATAATTTTACCTAATACGAAGTAAAGCTAGTTAAGTAGAGCTGACTCAATCGTTTTAATAAAGTTTGGCAGTGTAAGGCCTTTTACGGCAGCTTTTTGAGATTACATGACTAAACGTCCGACACATAGGTAGGTAGTTTCATTAATTAACCATTAAAATATTCAGTAACTTTCTATGTTAACAAGCGAGCAAGCGACTAGTCCATTAGCAGCGTGAATGCGATATGCCATAATATTTCCCTATTTACTTCATTCGGCCCAAACAGGCCAGTTTCCAATTCATTTGCGACGTTTGTAGGATGACGACGAGTGGCAAATAAAGCTGATTACAAAGGGCCCCAAATGAATTATTGTGACGTGGGCAAGACTAAGGTTGACTTCCCTTATAAATGACCGGGATAGGTACCCTTTGACTAGGCAATGTTTTTTGCATCTTATGTACGTTCATGTTCTAGGATTCCTACTGGTTGTTGTCGATCCAAAAACATAATTTACTGACATTTTGAATTGTATATTGGCATTTAAATCTTTGGACTTAATAATAGGCTTTCTAACGTGTATTTACTTTCGTATTTCTCACTAAGTAGGTAGTGCTTCAGGTACCTTCTTCAATCTTATTTTCTGACCACTTATTTTCCTTCAACTCGTGGGCGGGTCCACCCAAATACCAAACTTTTACTTACAAACTTGTACCCATTAGCTGTTTATGACACCATCTAGACCCGATTGTGATTTATGGAAGAAAGTTCAGGAATAACCTCCATACCCTTTTCGTCAGTTATCTACTACGCCACTTCGTTTGGTATTTACTAGGCTCTTGTACCCATCTCAAAGATGACAGCCATCCTAATTTATTTAGTTACCTACCCACTTGGTTTGTGTATGAATTAATTGAGCGTTTAAAAAGTAAGGTCAAAGATTATGTACACGAAAATTAAATGAAAGCACAAGCTTTGCTTACTTTGGGACTAGATACGCCATCTAGTGTGTGAAAAATTCCAAAAACATAATTTATTTACTTAAAGTTAGTTCTTAAAATTAAACTAAATTAAGTACAGTGGGCCACAGTTCCAGCTACCAATTTCCGTTTTTCTCTCGCTCTCATCAAATGGTGATTCTTGGCGATAGAAAAAGACGACATGCCTGGAAATGGGTAGCTGGAACTGTGGCTGATGATATGTACTTGATGTACTTCATTATTAAATGAAACCTATTTGCAATGTTTCAGAGGACGTGTTAAACGACTCGAAGGGCGAGTGCGTGATCTGCCTCGAGGAGCTGTCGGCCGGAGACACCATCGCGCGCCTGCCCTGCCTCTGTATCTACCACAAGGGGTCAGTACCATCAACCACCATTGACCATTAGCATCAGCCCACTGCTGTTGGCCTAGGATGCGCGCCACGATAAACTTTGGTCAAAGCATTTTATCGGTTCCTCGTGATAAGCCCATACATTTGTCGTCTAAAATCATCGATAAGATTTTATCACGCCGCGACGCGCATCTTAGCCCGACAGTAGGTCTAAGATGCGCGCCGTGATAACTTTTATCGATGTTAGAATGTATGGGCAAAATCGATAAAATAGCGTGATAACCGCTTATCGCGGCGCGCATCTTAGGCCTACAGCTGGAGTCTGAACAAAGTCTCACTCAGTCACAAAACCAGCCCAGTCAGCAAGTCTTATTCTAGCATTATCCCTTACCTTATAAAAAGTTACATCATATTGAAACTAATTTAAAATAACATTTCTACACTAAACGACATTAAAACCAGTGTTCAACGCGCGTGTTACTAAGGGAGTTTGTGTTTAACATTGGGCGCATAATCTTCACCTCAACTGTGTTTGGTGATGATAAACTAATCTTATATTAACAATATAGGCTAATAATCAAAGAGTAAAATTTAAAACGGCGATCAAACTTAAAAGCGAAAAGAGCTATTGAAAATGTGCATTTCTTTCAAAATATCCAAGACTTGATGAAAAATATTTGCAAGTCAACCAGGTAGAAAGTCGGGAATATAAAATGTAAGTTTTCAGCGACGGAGCTGAAGGTATTTGAAAAATTCGATAGCTGTAAGTTGTTCAGGAACGCTAGACTAGAGCGTGCGCCCTACATCGCCAAGTGGCGCTTAAAGGCGCAGGGCTGCTGGCCTTTTGTGTCGAAGCTTCCCTATTTTATTTATTTACTTTCTCGACTAGCTCCGTCTGGATTTAGTTCGTTCCAAAAAGACTTATGTATCATCGTATATCCCATAAAACAATATTGTTTTGATTACAATTTTAACTGAAAACTACAGCATCACCTGAAAATTCATTCTGCATTACTGAAAGAAAATTAAGTCAGATGAGAGAAATATAATTAATTTTCCATGAACGAGTTACATAACGAAAGTCAAGGTTATGTTTGAATTGATGTTATTATATCTATTAGTTGTCTGTTGTCTATCTCTGTTCTAAAGGCTGAATAAACATTTTATTTAGTACCTAAATTATGAATATTATCTGGACAGCCCTGTTCGCGGCCTATCAAGGGCCCGATAAGCGCAGGGCCGCATGTAGGGCGGCAGACGGCGTGTTGACCCATCGAGATAGGCCGCCGGTAACAACGAGAGATGCTCTCGATAGGGCTTCCCTCTTCACAAGTTTTGTAGTGCTAGCTAGAATGAGGTGTTGTGAAGATAACTTTTTGCCTTGCTTATTACCAGGATGATGATAAAATAGTTACATTTTGTTATAGTAAAATAGGAAAGTTAATCATTCCAATCATTCTTTCTTTGATGATGCTGACGAAGATAACAATTTATAGTTTGTTCTTTGACATAGATTTCATTCGTTCGTTTGAACTTTTAACCAAATGCCATCCACTGTTGGGCAATTGCCTTCAACAGACTTCCTTAACGACTGTCATATACTTGCTCAATTTTAATTGTTCTTTTCTCTCATTCCAGATGTATAGACCAATGGTTTGAAGTGAACAGATCGTGCCCTGAGCACCCCGGCGACTAGTGGCCCGGCTGCCGCCTGCCCCGGCGGCCCGGCAGGCCCCGGCGGCCCGGCAGGCTCCGGCGGCCCGGCAGGCCCCGGCGGCCCGGCAGGCTCCGGCGGCCCGGCAGGCCCCGGCGGCCCGGCGACGCCCCGGGCCCGGCCCGCGGGCCCCCCACGTGCCATGTCGCGAGTGATAATTTTATACAGACAGACTTTGCCCCCGGGGCGTGTAAATATTTATGCTAGTGAGATGTTTTACCATTTAATGATTAAAATGATTAAAAACAAAGACATTATAGTAAATCGCTAATGGGAAATTCTCGGTGGAGTATTAATGATACTATTAATTGTAAATTTTACATCGTTACTCTTTAGTTAAACGCAATATTGAAAGTTTGTTTTTTAATTTGATATGTATGTATAANCTAAATAATGTGTATCGTACAGTTAGGATTCGGTTATGAGCAAGGGTTATGTTATGCAGTCCTGTGATCTACGCGGTTTACATATCTGTTTCGTAAGCTTATATATAATATATGATTTGATCTTTTTCATCTTGATAATAAAGTTGATTTGTTTCTAAATTTTCGAAGATTGTTTTATTTGTTACCAAAAGATTGTAAGCAGGTGGCACAATTAAGGCTAATTAATATGTATTTAAATTAAGACAACCTAGTCCCGATTTTTGTAATGTTTAATCGAAATTTATATAAGAACAAGCGTTTAACACGGCTGCACAGAAAGGTGTTTTTCTGTAATGTCGACGAATAACTATTACTTATATTAAATGATGATAACTAAAAATTAAAAACATATGTTGGTTTTTTATTTAATTTTATTGTACTTATAATCTATGCATACTTATTTGATTAACATAATCACATTGAAGAAAATTTTATTTTAGTTGGTTTTTATATTGTTACATTGTGTAATCTGTGAACATGTAGACAACTATAAGGAAAATAGGTATTTCACACTGCTAAATGCTGATTATAAATAAATAGGAAACCACAAAAGTTCACAAAACTATTGTCAGTTATAAAATTAATTTGTAATGTCTCTATTTTTTATCTAAGAAGATAATATGAAAAAGAAAAACTTAGTTGTAGAACTAGTAGACATTTTTAAATTGTTGTACCACCTTCGAGGCGTAGAGAAAAAGATTAATGCCAGTTCTCAACATCAATCCCTAACTTTTACGCGACCCCTATGGTAACATTTAACAGGAAATTTGTTTTCAAAGAGGTCACTTAAAAATTAGGGATTGATGGTGAAAACGACATAAGAGTATTCACAAGAGAGACATATAATAAAATTGTAAATATTATTATCGACTGTACATTTTGTGTGGGAATAAATTTATGAAGATTTACTGAAGAAAGCTTGGAATGACAGTGGCGCCATTTTGCAATATGTAAACATGTAAACATTTTGCAATTTGTCGTCTAAACGAGAATGTGATATTTGGTTAATTTGGTTGCTAGCCCACATATCACATTTTGCATATATTTTTCTCTGATATTTCAGTAGATATCATAAAAGCTCAGGACACAGCTTACTATAACAAATTATTAAAAAACTATCTAACTTCCCCGAGATATTAGTTGTGCCTCTTTGAATTATGTCGGCAGCATTCCTTGCAAAGTTATCAAGAGCCACTGGTGAGTGGCTAAGACCGCAGCGTGGCTCGGTGGCGGCGGCCGTAGCGGTGGCGGCGGCCGTAGCGGTGGCGGTGGCGGTCAGCGCATGAAGGAGCGGTGTCGCGGCGCGCGCGTCACTCGACCGCCGGGCCAACCCATGGCACCTGTGGATATTTACGAATGTAAATTTCTAGATAATTTACTAACGTATTTTTCCACTCTTCTCATAAATATCGTAAAAGGTAACCAAGAAGGTTTCCACCAAAGCAGAGAAAAGGTGATATTTTTTCATAACCAATCGGATTTCAGAACCTACGCTAGAGAGGTGTGGAATACCTGAAAACTGATTGGTTATTCAAACACATCTTCTCTTCGTCTTGGTGGAAACTAGCCCTAAGGGACATAACAGGCCTTTCCAACCCATCAGGCAAGCATTGGAGAGTGCAGGTCAACCCTCTATTTGGCTTTGAACATTTAGAGAAGGTCATACTACTACAGAGGAGAGTCCAAAGGAGGTCCCTGACAAGACAGAAATTTGGTAAAATGGTCCCTCGTGACTTAAAGGTTAAGAACCACTGATCTAAGGTGATATTTATGCCGGTTTTCACCATTCAATCACAAATTTTTAAGTGACCCTTTTGAAAACAAAATATCCATAAGGGTCACTTAAAAATTAGGGATTGATGGTGAAAACGGGCATAAATATCACCTTAGATCAGTGGTTCTTAACCTTTAAGTCACGAGGGACCATTTTACCAAATTTCTGTCTTGTCAGGGACCACTTTTTTTTTCAAAATCCTATTAAAGGGGAGGTCGATTTCTCGCCCGTTTGCGTTGTGTTGCCTCGACTCATCACCTCACGTGACTTGTTTATTACGATGTCTTCGCGGACCACTTGGAATGCCTCCAGGGACCACCAGTGGTCCGCGGACCACCGGTTAAGAACCACTGCCTTAGATTATTTATACTAGGACCTTTCCAATACCCCCCGCTACCAACCGGGCAACATGGAAAGCATTGGGGGAGGCCTATGTTCAGCAGTGGACGTCCTATGGCTGAGATCATGATGATGAATACCCCCCTACTCTATTCAGAAGTGATTCGATTTTTCTACTGGCAATACAATTTTAAAACAATTATCATAGACACGCATATCAAGACACAATTATCTTTTTTAGGATACAGAAAGAATTTATTATAAGAATGAAGCTTTCGATCAAGAATGACGTTAAAACAAGAACTAGTACTGACCCATCATGTACTGCGATGCGGGTGCGAAGTGGCCGAAGTGTTGCGCTCCCATCTCCCAAGCGCCTCGCCCTCGACTGCGAAGGGAATAGACAAACATTTCAAACAGAAAATTCAAACTTTTTGCTAGAAATGTAAAGAGTTTTTAAACAGGTACTCGCTATTTTCTTTGTAAATAAATAAATTCAGAATTCTCAAAACTAAAACCCGGTCCGTGAGCACGTAGAATTTTGTCCAATGACCCCTAGCTACCCATCCTTATCACTCGCGAGTAATTATATTGCTGTCGCGACTGTGCGACTGGCACCCGCAGTGAGTGTGCGAGCGCGATAGCAACATAATTACGCGCGAGCGATAAGGATGGGTAGCTTGGGGTCATTGGACAAAATTCTACGTGCTCACGGACCAGACTATAGTCTCGTGTGGATCATAAATAAAAGACAAAATAGGCGGCAAAGGCCTAACTGTGTCGGTGTTGGGTTGGCCGATCCGAAATTGGAGGAATGCGGGTTCGAACCCTGTCGTCCGCTGGACTATTGTGGTGATTAAACTCGTACACAAAGATACATTTAGCTAACCACAACAATAACCACAAGGGATAAATGATTTTAAAACAGCTAGAGACTAAATGAGACTCAAAAAGGTTACTTCACCCTAATTTAACAACCAGGTAAGACCATAAAGATGAAACAAAACATAGGCACTGAACATTTGATATTATGGTTTTTTGGTATTGCATTTCACAAGAGAAAAAAAAGGACTTGAATACAGTGTATAAACTATGTAAAGCCTGGTCTGTGAGCACGTAGAATTTTGTCCAATGACCCCAAGCTATCCATCCTTATCGCTCGCGCGTAATTATATTGCTGTCGCGACTGTGCGACGCGCGCCCGCAGTGAGTGTGCGAGCGATGGTGCGCGAGTAGCTTGGGGTCATTGGACAAAATTATACGTGCTCACAGACCAGACTATAGACAAACAACTTAGGAAACTTTTTAGGAACTATATTGGGAATAAAACAGTGGGGTCATACTCACAGATGGCGGTAGTGCGTGTGCACCGGCGCGGCCGAGGCGAAGCGCCCTCTGTCGGCCACCGGCGGCCCGCGCCGCATGCCCCTGTGAAACGAACACAAGATTTGAAGCGATGTATCATTGGAGAACAAGGCTTTCAAAAGTACAGAAAACAAATCAGACAAAGGTGACTCAGTTACTTTCATTCCCTTTTGTTGTTTGTTTTCAGCTGGTATATGGAAGATTTGGCTGAGTTTAGGGATCTATGAGGGTAGACCGAGATTATTTTTTAAAGATATTTGGGTCTAAATTTTATATTACATTAATGTGTTTAGTAAAACCTTACTAGGCGCTGCTGGTTTTTAGATATAATGGTGCCCTCTAGCTGGGTAGAATCGAAGGCAAGGTAAAATGGCACGTGTGGCGATCTATGTGCGCCACAATGTGAACTCATTGGTCCGCCCGCGGCGCTCCGTGCCGCGCGCTCCTGGCCGGCAATAAAAAAGAAGATTTTATATTGTCACCTTTGACACTAGCTTTTCTCTTGCTCTTTTGATTTTGTTCAGATTGATAATTTTATTTCTTTTATGTTTTTGTAATTTAGTCAGTTGTAAATATATTTGTTTATTGAAAGCCGCTTATAATTTGCTGAACATCTATCTCCGATAAATTAATGTGAGGAGACGTTCGATTCGTCTCCCACACACGTAATAGAGTGATTTCTGTGCTCAGCAGTGGAATTTTAGGCTAAAGATGGTGATAATTTTAATAATAAGGGTATCAAGCTCTATTTAAGGCTCTCGTTCTACCCTGGAGATGGTACGAGTATTAGGGTGTTGAAAGAGTACATAGTACAAATAGTTTAACTGCGCACCCGGCGGCCGTGACGTCACATCGACGCTCTGATACGAACGGGGCGAACGCGGGGGAGGTGTGCGGGCGAGTGGGAGGGAGAGTCGCTTTCCAGCGAGGTGCGCAGTTAAAAAAGTAGCGGGTGGTAGTAAAAAATTAGTAATAGTTTGTATGTAGGTGAGGGTTCTCTCTTGGCTATGCTCGGTGTTTCTTTACGAGATCGAATCAGAAATGAGGAGTAAACCGTAAACGCTACGTAAAAACGTAAACTAGTCGCTGACATAGCCCGACGGATTAGCAAGCTGAAGTGGCAATGGGCAGGGCACATAGTACGCAGAACTGACGGCCGATGGGGCAGCAAGGTTCTGGAATGCCGCGTACCGGAAAACGCAGCGTGAGACGTCCACCCACAAGGTGGACCGATGACATCATAAAGGTAGCAGGGAAGCGCTGGACGCAGGCCGCTACCGATCGATCAACATGGAAAGCATTGGGGGAGGCCTATGTTCAGCAGTGGACGTCCTATGGCTGAAATGATGATGATGAGGGTTCTCTGGTGGGCGGTCACCTGGCGAGCGGCTGAAGAGCCGTGAAGTCGTCCACGTGCAGCGAGGGCGGGCGGACGTGTTGGGACTCACCTGGCGAGCGGCTGGTAGGGCGCGTGCGTGTGAAGTGGTCCACGTGCAGCCAGGGCGGGCGGACGTGTTGGGACTCACCTGGCGAGCGGCTGGTAGGGCGCGTGCGTGTACAGTCGTCCACGTGCAGCGAGGGCGGGCGGACGTGTTGGGACTCACCTGGCGAGCGGCTGGTAGGGCGCGTGCGTGTGCAGTCGTCCACGTGCAGCCAGGGCGGGCGGACGTGTTGGGACTCACCTGGCGAGCGGCTGGTAGGGCGCGTGCGTGTACAGTCGTCCACGTGCAGCGAGGGCGGGCGGACGTGTTGGGACTCACCTGGCGAGCGGCTGGTAGGGCGCGTGCGTGTGCAGTCGTCCACGTGCAGCCAGGGCGGGCGGACGTGTTGGGACTCACCTGGCGAGCGGCTGGTAGGGCGCGTGCGTGTACTCTCGTCCACGTGCAGCGAGGGCGGGCGGACGTGTTGGGACTCACCTGGCGAGCGGCTGGTAGGGCGCGTGCGTGTGCAGTCGTCCACGTGCAGCCAGGGCGGGCGGACGTGTTGGGACTCACCTGGCGAGCGGCTGGTAGGGCGCGTGCGTGTACTCTCGTCCACGTGCAGCGAGGGCGGGCGGACGTGTTGGGACTCACCTGGCGAGCGGCTGGTAGGGCGCGTGCGTGTACTCTCGTCCACGTGCAGCGAGGGCGGGCGGACGTGTTGGGACTCACCTGGCGAGCGGCTGGTAGGGCGCGTGCGTGTGAAGCGCCGTGAAGTCGTCTACGTGAAGCGAGGGCGGGCGGGACGTGTTGGGCGGGCGCGAGCGGAACGCGTCCGCGCCCTCCGCTCGCACGCGGGCCAGCGCCACTGGGGACAAACGAGTCAAGTTAGCTATAGTATATCATGTTAATAGAATAATAGTAGAGAGGAGCCTCTAGTAAGAGAGGAGGCTTGCCACGCTTCCTCACAACTGAGGGCGTCCGCTAAAATTTGCGAGGAGCGAGTGCCTGCGGCGGCCGTACGTGGTTGGTTAGTACATTGATAGGTTATTCAATTATTCAAAACACTTCTTCGCTCTGCTCCGCCTTGGTGGAAACCGGGCTTTACGGAGATAAATTAACTTTATGAATATCAATTATAGTAAAAAGAGAGATTTATCCCAATAGGACAAATAAGGACATTACATTTAAGTTTTTATAGCACACTTATCAACCCGTAAAGGGACGAACACCATATCGAATTTCGTCCAATGACCCCAAGTTACACTTTCTTATCACTCGCACGTAATTATATTCCTGTCGCGACTGTGGGACGGGCGACCACAGTAAGTGTGCATCCGTAGGAGAACTAGAGTGACTGACATAGCCCGCAGAATCGCTAAAATCAAGTGGCAGTGGGCGGGGCACATAGCTCGAAGAGCTGATGGCCGCTGGGGCAGGAAAGTTCTTGAGTGGCGACCAGTGGGCAGGCCTCCCACTAGGTGGACCGACGATCTGGTGAAGGTCGCGGGAGGTACCTGGATGCGAGCAGCGCAGGACCGTTCATTGTGGAAAACCTTGGGGGAGGCCTTTGTCCAGCAGTGGACGTCATTTGGCTGAAACGATACGAACGATACGATACGAAAAAAACCGTTGGTTACCTGCCGGGCGCTTGTCGTCGCTGGGCAGCGGCTCTGTGCGCGCGTCCAGACAGCCGGCCAGGCGGCGCACAGCGCTCGCCAGCGCGCCCGCCCCTCCCGCGCCGCCCCCGCCCTCCAAATGCGCGTTCGCTATCTCCATTATATCGCACGGCACCTGGAACAGTTGTTGACAGTGGTGGGCGTTGGTAGGCAGGCAAGGAATATAAAAAAAATTCTGTACGGGCGGGGGGAAATGAGACACAACGACGGACGGTTGATATCCCGCTGCGGCCAAGACACCCTTAGCCGTCGCTATGATCAGTCCGGTGAGTCTGCCGGGCTGGCAGCGGGTCCCCGCCGCCTACCTGCCGTCCTAACGCTGCTGCCCTGGGCGACCTGGGCGCAGCTTCCTTCCTATCAAACCCTTATTATGTCTAAGTATCTATTGTTAGGCAGGGCTAGGGCTCTAGGGACTTAGTGTCTAAGGGAATAGGGACTCTAGACTCACTAGGGAGTTAGTTCCCTTCCTGACCTCATATCCCGGGCACGGGAGCGGTGCCTTACAAACACTGCCTCCCACCCGTACAAAATCCTTGGACATTTACACTACCCTTCTAGTCCCAAACTAAGCGAAGCTTAAATACACATATTGTGGTCAAATAACTGCCTTGTTATGCATAAAAAAAATACACGAACGAACTTAAATACATTTTTTTTCAAATACATATTTAATATGCATATTAACACCAAGACCCATCACAGAAATTAAAATTCATCATTTCAATTTCTGCCCGGCGGGAATATTAGTCCGTTCTGAACCATTACACCAAACGGCTGACAAGGAATGAACTTTTAACTTAGTTACACTGCATTCAAGATTGATCCCAGAGTCAAACTTTGGTCGTATAAAGGTCGATTCAATATTCCATAAGACTTCCTGAACTGTAAAACTTTTGGGTAGTAGCAATGGAATAAAGTAAACAAAAACATGCTGAACCACCTCCATTTGCTTAAAAAATACATTGGATTTTCTCAATCTGCTTGACCAGGGTGGGAAGCATAGACCAAATTATCTATTTGTTACTGGTTACAATCCTCTTACTTCGTTCGTTCGTTCGTTCGTTTCAGCCGAAAGACGTCCACTGCTGGACAAAGGCCTCCCCCAAGGATTTCCACAAAGACCGGTCCTGCGCCGCTTGCATCCAGGTACTTCCCGCGACCTTCACCAGATCGTGTTGTACCCACTCCTCTGAAGGTTGGAGNAAGTCGTCCACGTGCAGCGAGGGCGGGCGGGACGTGTTGGGCGGCCGCGAGCGGAACGCGTCCGCGCCCTCCGCTCGCACGCGTGCCAGCGCCACTGGGGACAAACGATTCAAGTTAGCTAAAGTATATCAAGCAGGGTACTGTCTGTGAGCATGTAGAATTTTGTCCAATGACCCCAAGCTACACTTATCCTTATCGCTCGCGCGTAATTATATTGCTGTCGCGACTGTGCGACGGGCGCCCGCAGTGAGTGTGCGAGCGCGACAGGAACATAATTACGCGCGAGCGATAAGGATGGGTAGCTTGGGGTCATTGGACGAAATTCTACGTGCTCACGGACCAGGCTTCAGCTAAAAAACCGTTGGTTACCTGCTGGGCGCTTGTCGTCGCTGGGCAGCGGCTCTGTGCGCGCGTCCAGACAGCCGGCCAGGCGGCGCACGGCGCTCGCCAGCGCGCCCGCCCCTCCCGCGCCTCCCCCGCCCTCCAAATGTGCGTTCGCTATCTCCATTATGTCGCACGGCACCTGGAACAGTTGTTGACAGTGGTGGGCGTTGGTAGGCAAGGTCAATGAACTTTCTTTTATGTTGGTTACACTGTGTTCAAGATTGATCTCAGAGTCAAACTTTGATCGTATAAATGTCGATTCAATATTTAATAAGATTTAATAAACTAGACAAATATAAGGAAAGGCTGAAACATCACACAAACCAACTCGCTAGAGAAATAGTGGAACAAACCCACAAGACCACCACAAGACTGAAAAGATGGCAAATATTACAGTTGGACCAAAGATGCTAGTGGATTGCTGAATATTGGAAGGCTGGACTAGATTGCTACGTGAATTAGTAAAAACCGAGGGAGAGAATTTACTGGAATACCCCTCCTCATGAACACAAACAAAAATGCAAGACAAAACATAAGTCTAAGTCGATTGCAGATATAAAAAGGGGAAAAAAAAAGATTTAATAAACTGTAATTATTGCAAGCTTTTTGGTAATATGCAATAAAAAGTATTCTCATATACATAGATGATGACAATGGCATAAAGTTTAAAATTGTCAACATTGGGCTTCCTCAATCTGCTTAACGTAGCCCAATGTTTGGTCTGCATAGACCAAAATTAAATTATCTATTTATCTGTTACAATTCTTCTACTTCTTCTTGTCGTGTCGACAACAAACGTACACAGCGTCAGCCCAAAACTCCTACTTACTCCACTGCGAGAGATAGTACAAGTAAAAAAGTTACAGACATAGCCCGCAGTGTTGCCAAACTTAAGTGACTGTGGGAGTCGCACGTAACTCTTAGAACTGATGGCCGTCGGGGCAGAAAACTTCTCAAGGTAACTACAGATCGGACCGACGATCTAGAAAATCGCGAGAAGCACCTGAATGCGGGCAGCTCAAAACCAGGATATCCCTATAGAAGGTCTTTGTCCAGCAGTAACGTTCTTTGGCTGAAATGATCAAGATGACGGTGTTCCTTACCAGTTCATTATCATTGACGTCATCTTCTCCACTGGCAGCCGGCACATTAAGCCAGTACCCAGCCGTCAGCCGTTCATCAGCAGGGTGCGGCGACGCATGTGTCGCTCGAGCCAGGAACTGAGCCACCAGCGGCTCTGGCGGCACCGGCGGCGCCGGCTCCGGCTCCGGAGTGCCTGGTGCTTCTGTGTCTTTTAGCTTCTGAAGGTGGCTGCAGAGGAAGCTCGCGTTGGCTATTGCGTCGTCGTCGAAGCTGCGCTCCTGAGAAGGTAAGATAAGTGGGTATTGAGGCTGGTGGTGCCATTGATTTTGATTTGGGAAGGTTGAATGTTCCTGAGAAAAGCGAGAGGAAGTTTGAGTCTGGTGGTGCCATTGATTTTGATCCGGGAAGATCCAAGGCTATGGTTATTCTATGGAATCTTTGACGTAAAAAATAAAATTAAAGCAAGTTGGGTATTAGGCACCGTTTATTCCCAGTGGTTCCATTTGACAATTCCTTCACACGAACTAATGGGAATAAACGTTAGACATTACCAAACGATTGAGAAACCTTTTATAAGACGTTTAAACTCGATTTGTCCACAGTCTTGTAATGGAATAGGAACCTATAAAAAGTTATTAATTTTTAATAATAAACTTATTTGAAACAAAATATTTTTTGTCATTCTCAAAATAATAAATAAATAATAATAATAAATTAATATCCTTGGACATTTTATACTGTGCTTCTAGTCCCAAACTAAGCAAAGCTTGTAACATGGGTACTAGATAACGGACATAAACATACTTAAATACTTTTTTGTAAATGCATACGTATTATACATAGAAAACACCCAGTCCAATACAAGCAAATATGTTCATGCACACAAATGTTTGTACTGTGAAAAATCAAGCTCAATATCAAATATTGACGAATGCAGCATACCTTCAAAGTCTTCTCCAGCGTCAGCACAGGATGGTCTTCCTCGGCCAGCGAGTAGCCCACCATATCGGCCATCTCAGACGCCGTCAGCACGGAGCGCCGGCCCGCCGCGCCCTCGCCCTCCTCTGCCCTCAGGATGCGGATCAGATCAATATACATGCTCAGGCACTCCGCCCGGTCCTCCCCTGGACCTAACAACGCCCACTTAAAAAACTTCCCCAAAGCCTCCCGCTTCTTCGTAACGAATTTCCTGAACTGCTGGAAACCGTGCTCGTGGTCCGTCAACACGAAGTACGTTCGCAAAATAGAAGACGCGACTGCGCAGGTCTTAGTCGACGATTCCAGGCAATCGGCCGACGCTTCCAGAAACGCTGCGAGAGCGTCCCTATTCGGCAGGGAGTTCGATAGCAAAGCGTCGCTGTTCGCCGATAGAGGAGTCAGAGTGATTTCGATGTCGCAGAACGCGGCTAAAGCGTGAGCGGCGAACTCCTGCGCCGCCGCATGCTCGTTCGAGCCGTTGACCGAACTGAGCACCCCGCATAGTGCCGACTGGATTTCGGTGGCCCGGGGCCCGCCGCTGTTCATCGTGTGAAGCACCGCGCATTTGACCGACGCGTGAGACACCAAGCACGCGAAAAACCCTAAAACCCTCGCGGTGCTCGCTGTGGTGACCTCACCCTGCTTCAGTTCCCTCATCACGGCCCCGACGGCGGCCCGCGCGACCGTGAACGCCGTATTCGGCGCCAGGTCCGCAATCTGAACGCAAACGCGCCGCAGCATGTGCACCACCGGCCTGTACGTGGACGTACAGATGATCTGGACCATGTCCGTCAGGTCGTTGGACAGAGCGTGCAGGTGCGCCGACCACAGCCGCCGCTCGTTGGACGCGTCGGCCAGCTCCCGTTCCGTGGGAGTTGTTTTCGTCTGCATCGGCAGCGGCAGAGGCAGCAGCTCGGAGAACACCAGTAAGCCGGGGACGAACGTGTACGGAGCCGTCATCGTGTAGGAGATGACTTCCGAACAGAGAGACGTCCAGGGTCCTCGCCGTATGGAGTCCCCGTCGTTCGCGTCATCGGCAATCGGTTGAGCGTAAGCCAGTAACGCTCTAACGGAAGCTTCGGCGGCTTTCGCGGCGGTTCGGTATCCGACGGATCCCAGGGGAAACGTTTTGGCGATCCCGTAAGTTTTCAGAAGGACCGGAGCCGCGGTCAGGTCGCGGAACCTCGGGCCGCGGCACCGGACGACTCGGGCCAGCATCTCGTCCAGTAACCTTAAGCACGGGAGGAGCATTTGTGCCAGTTGCAGTCCCTTTGCCGAGGCGAAAAACGCTGTGTGCATGCTCGGCTGCTCGAAATGATTCGCCAGGCGATCTAAAATGCCGACCAAGTGCGCCACTCCGTCCAAAGAGAACAACTGAAGAACGTTGTACTTGTACTTCAATTCGACGTACTCGTCTGTGGAGGATTCACAAGCTATGGTTGAGTTCTTATCGTAATCAGAAATGCAGAAATGTCTCAAGATTCGCAGACACGTCATCAGCTCGCCGGGCAAATCGGCGGAATGTTCCAGACTCCCTTTTAATATTTCCACGCACTCGGCCAAGTCATCTCCGGACTGCAGTATGGTTTTTTCGATGGGTTTCAGATAAGGACTGACTTCCTGCAGCACACTGGACACGCTCGGCTCAAATCTGTCGTGCTCATTCGTCACATTGATCAGTCTTTGTCCGTATTTCTTCAGAAACGAGACGTTCGCGGAGTATCGCACGGCGGACACGATCAGCTCGATCGCGTATCCTTTGGCGGGCGACTTCTGCTTCACCGGCGAGTCGGTCTTGCCTTTGCCCTTCAAATCGTTTTCAAACACTTCCATCAAGCAATCTGCGTTATCTCCCATAACGATCACGTCGGGCACGGCGGTTTTGCCGATGTTCCCAAAACTGAGACAGTACAACGACTGGAGCCTGTCTATCAACTCGTTCTCGTCAACCTTGCCAGCTTGGAGATCGCAGATGGACTTCAAGTAGTACAATGCCTTCAATTTGTACGCCATCTCTAGTCCTAATATCTGCAAGTCGCTGGAGGTACTGAGATCTTGAGGGTAGATGAACTCATCAGGATTTTGTTGGCCGTACGGCTGAATGAGCGTTTTGAACAGTAGTTCACTCAACTGCATGTTCTGATATAGAAAATTAAGACCGTTCTCCGAATTAACCAATTCGTAAATCAAATCGTTGATAGGACTTGTGACAACCAGATTGTTGCAAGTGGCCGGACAGGTCAGCAAGTACAGGCACACTTCGAGAATGTGATGGACGTTGAAGAATTCCAAGAGAATTTCGTTAGAAGATTCTTTGTTTATTTCGAATTGGGCAGACACGGGTAGGAATCGCTTCGGCTGGGAGAGGTGGAAGCATTGGGTCCGATACATGTAAAGGATCTCTTCTAGAGCGTTAATTATGAATTCTACGTCACTCTCAGACAGCTCTGTGTCCTCATTGTGGGTGTTTTCAGCAGCTGATTTATTAAAATTCAAGACAAGATCGTGTAACTTTCCCAACAGTTCGTATATGTTGAGCTTTTTTATCAAAGCGCTGATAGAAAATTTAATTCTAGCCAGTGGATTCGTCTGCATAATGGAAATGAGGGCCTGGTAGCCGTTCTTCGGCTTATTATCATTCTCGTCTTTCTTGTCGAACTTGGGGAATATTGTCTCTTGCATGAAGTGTCCTACAGACTCCTTAGAAGACAAGCAAGCATTCAAAGATCGCAATATCATCAAACGGATGCTCAGTGCCATGTATTCCTTCGAATATATTTCCAGAAGTAACATTGGAATATCTATACCTGCGCTCAGAAACATTTGCATTACTTGTCCGTTGTGACGATGACACATCAGCGCCTCGGCGAGGCGGATACCGCATTTCATGTGCCTGATTTTGTATGTAGGCTGTTGCTGCGCCAAAGCAAATTCAAAGTTGAGACCAATCCTACAGAAGGTCACGAGAAAGTTGTAGATATCAAGGAATTCATCATCGCTGTTGTTCTTGCAAAATACGCGCAAAATTATGTCACTGTTCTTGCAGAGGTTGGTGAGAGAAATAAAAAGTTGCTCGCATTGGTGCACCCATTCTTCTCTGGCTGAATTGTCAATTTCAGTGAAGGTATTGGCGAAAAACTTCTGCTCTCTTTTCTTAGCCGCTTTTGTTAACTCCGATATTTTGAATAGATCTGGGCTCGTGGCGCACAGCTCGTCGTAAGTTGCACTAATCACGTCTTTAACGCCTTCTTTTTGTGCGTTCGCGAGGAAATGAATTTTGTTAACATAGTCATACTTTAGCCATTCACATTTGAATGGGTTATAATATTTTATAATGTCGTCTACACCGCAGTATTCGTTTACGTCATAATCTACCTCCATGTAAGGTGTTTCCTCCAGATCACAGATATCTTCGTCAGACAGGATGGGTTCAAATTGCTCAGCATCCATGGATTCTTCTGCGTTCCGATTGGGCGATTCGATAGCTTTAGCTGCCGTTGCATTGTCAACGATCGGGACAGTCACGAGGGTGGAATGCTGCGGCTCAATATAGGGAGCATTCTCGACCTCCTGGGAAGGACTGCGAATAGAACTCTTGTGCCTATAGCTTGGATGGTAGAAATCGACACGAGGTATCTGTTTACCGGCTCTATCGTAATCACCGCCCTCCTCCGATCTGACCGAGTTAATAGGGCTGGAAGCATCTCCTTCTCTGGGAGAGAGAGGTCTTCGGCTGCTCTCCCCGGGGGGCGTGCGCGGCCTCTTCCTTGGATCATCCCTACTCGGCGACCGGCTGCCGTAGCTCGAGCCCCGCATCCGGCCGTAGGGCGAATGACGTTTTCTATCATACGACCCTTGCTTTTCATACGAGGGCGCCCGTCTTTCGTAGGACGACCCTCGCTTATCGTAAGGCGACATGCGCTTCTCATACGACGGACCACGCTTTTCGTAAGACATTTTACGCTCATAAGAAGGCGCCCTTTTGTCGTAGGGCGAACGTCTCTCGTAGGACCCATCCTTGTCGTAGGATCCGGCGCGTGAGCGGTCGTACGACGCATCACGATGGCGACGGTAATCGTCTTTCTTGTAGGACCCGCGGTCCCAGTCGCGATCGCCGGACAGAGCGCGGACGCGGTCCCTGTCGATGCTGCGGGACCTGGATCGACTCATCGGGCGGTACTCGCTTTTGATCGGGTAATCCCTATCGCGCGAGCGCGACCTAGAGTGCAGACGGTCGATCCTGTCCAGGCGGGGGCTCCGGTCGCGGTGTCTCGACGACTCGCGACTCCGGCCTCGGTCGAGCGACCGGCGCCTGCTCCTTGTGTCTCGCCTATCTCGGTCGTGCTCCAGGGATCTCGGGCTGCGCCTCAGTCTGTCCTCTCTCTCGCAGCTTAAGTCCCGACGGTCCTTCTCCCACTCGTTGTCTTCCAGGTGATGGTAGGTCCTCGGGTCTTTGGGCGGCTCCGCGTCGTAGTAGGGGTCGGCTCTGTAGCTGTCGTAGTTTTCGGGGTAGTTGGTGGCCTGGTAGGCCTCGGCGGGGGCGGCGACGCTGCCGGTGTAGGAGGGGATGGGGTTGGAGCCCTCGGGGGTCCAGTCGGGCGGCTGCGCGGGGGCCACGGGGGGCACCTCCCGCGGGATGGGGGGCCGCTGGATGCTGGGCGGGTTGGCGCCGATCGGCGTGTCACTGAGGACCTGCGTTAGGTTCCCGTAGACTGCCAAGGTGATGGTCGTGTACCAGCCTGTAAATAGCAGATTCACATCACAGATGATTTATATTTCCATTATCAAATCTTTACAATTATACAATTTTTAAAACACATTGTGTTGTGAACACTATGACAAACAGAAAGCATGTTTTTTTTAATTAGTGTTTTTCATAAGTCATGTCATAAGTGCCACTTGTGGTCTAAACTGAATAAATATTTTTGATTTTGATTTTCACAAAATCTGTTAAAAATACAATAAAAAGTAAAAAAAACAAAGGCAAAATATGGCTTCATAGCCAACCACCACAATTTTTTATTTATTTTACAAATATGCTAAAGAGTGATGTTAAAATAAAATGTTTTATAGATCTAAATTCTAAAGTTAGAGGCCAAAGGTACATGTGCGGCACATGACTGTAAATGTGTTGACTGGTGTCATTTCAAAATCTAGATTTAGTACAATATAATTTTGTTATTATACAAAATAAAGTAGGTATGACGTGATGTTAAGTGAGTTGTCAGTCTAGGATGGTACAGTAGGTAGCTAGGTAATATTGTTTTCTGATGTATTTCAATCTCAGCCGAAGCAAATTAAAAAATAAGAGAAAGTATCAATAATAAACTCCAAGCAGAATAACTTATTTGTTATTTATAAATTATTGTTGTATGAATTCTGTTCTGTTAATTTTACATTAATAAAGGTAACAAATAACAATTGGTAGATCTGAAGTCATCATATTGTAAGTAAACTACACAGTAAAAGGTGGAAAAAGGTAAAGGAATGCTCACTTAATTTTAGGTCCTGATGATTCTTACTTATGATTTAAATTCGCAAACTAACCTCGCAATACAAGACCATCAGTTGGTATCCGCGGGTGGTCCAGTCCAGTGCCGCATTCCATGTGTATCTGGCCATTTTGACAGTAGTCCAGACTGCCGAGGGCCTCGAACGTAGACGCGCCAGGCTTGCTGAGGTCATTCACGAAGAAATCGATATGGAATTTCGTCGGATTCGTTGCACCGAGACGCACTCCGCCGGGAAAGTCGCCTTCTACGCGAGCCCCCAGCGGTATAATGCGAATCTCTCGCACGTAAACCGACTTCGGAAACTGCACGAGGTCCAAGTTGAGCTCCTAAGACAAATTAACACGGTTAAAACAGAAAATACAACAACAAAATCGCAACAAATGTTGGTCGACATACTTCACTCGTATCGTGGGAAAACGTATCGAAAAACAAAAGGTCGGGTTGTTCAGGAGCTGCCATGTTGGAGTCCATAAATTAGGTTTCTTATTTTGTTAAATAAACATTGTATTTTAACCAAAATACTGCAAAAAGAAGAGTAAAATTTCAATGAAAATGCTCAAAGCGCATCCGCGACTTCGCGTCGTTTCGGTATTTGACAGATGACAGATGAAATTTGACAGTTTGACTTGACACTGACACTTGACATTTTGCTTCGTCTAACACAAAGGAATAAAAATTATAATGCCAATATTTTTTTTCTTGCAAAATAGGAAATGTTCTGTGTATTTTATGATCTTTCTTTGTAATTTTCCTTCCTGCACCTTTTAATTTTCGTAGGTACAGCCAGACCACTGGGTTGCTTTATGTGACAGAGTTGAGCCCGCGTTAGTCTTGTAGGTATTACCACAGATAATATAATACGTATTACCTAAACTTACATTTTTCCACCCACTTTCTTACATAGGACAATGTTTTATGAGCTTTACAAGGCTTAGGTATTTTAAGTAGTTTAATATTATTGCCATGATCGTTTTATTTATCTTTCTAAAGAGAGCCACTTGGTGTTGTTTTGTGTGAAATTATCGTCCATAATAATGGCATCGTGACTATTCGTGACGACGACAATTTTAGTTGTTTGCTTAGCTTATTACTGCTGGAGGGCATTGGAGTCACATTTGCGATATCTCCTCTCGTGTCGTGACGTGATAGGGAAAACCTAAATGCACTCTATTAAAGTTTAATTAATAGTAGATAGGTGTATCAGTTATCCAGTGCTGGATTAAGACCACTTGGTGCCCTAAACAGTCTACACCTGTGGGTCTACCGAAAACAATGCCCAATTCTTTTTTTGTACTCTAAGTAGAAAGAGAAATTAGCAACGTAGTTAGGTAGGTACCTACTTCTACTGCTTCTAGATCGTATTTATTGTCAGCATAACAAACAGACAAACAAATAATATTATCTTTGTAAGTGTCGAATTTGCTGTCTCATGTTTCAAAAATAAGTTAATGTTGCTTATTTATTACATCACAAAGAAGTTAGTAGGGTGTCCACGCTGCGAGCTCTGGTTACTGTCTGTTTCAGCTTTGTTTTTATTTAATTTATTCGCATATGTAAGCACTATTTCATTTTTATAATTAGTTAACTAAACAATGAAATAATATTCTGTGCTGTGCCACAATCTGTATGCTCATAGCAGCTGCACCTGCTCACTTTTTTAAGGCAATTGCATTTTTACGTTACTCTAGTATATACAACATACTAGGCGCAGTAGTGACTATTCTTCATTACTAGCTTCGTTTCCTAAGTCTGGTGAACCTTAGAAAAAACAAAACCACCACGATGAATCTTAAAATCAGAATTTTAATAATTCTATCAAGAATTTAAGCGTCCACGTTAGAGGAGAGGATACAATGATTTTACTTAAAATAGAAATTGGCCAAGTGCGTGTCGTGCCACGCGCATTATAGGGTTCCGTAGCTGTCCGTCGTTTTTTATTTTTATTTTTATTACAGCTTTATCGGAATTTATTTGGCTATTTATTACATCACAAAGAAATTAGTAGGGTGTCCATGTTGCGAGCTCTGCTTCTTGCTTCTTACTTAAGCACTATTTAATTTGTTATAATTACTTAGTTAACTAAACAATGAAATATTATTTTGTGCCACAATCTGTATGCTCATAGCAGCTGCACCTGCTCACTTTTTTAAGGCAAACTCGCATTTTTACGTTTCTCTAGTAAAACATACTAGGCGCAGTAGTGACTATTCTTCATTACTAGCTTTGTTTCCTAGGTCTGAAGCTTGGAGAAAAAACAATACCACCCCGTGATTTATAAAATCAGAGTTTTTATTAATAGAACATCAAGAATTTGGGCGTCCACGTTAGAGGATATAATGATTTTACTTAAAAAAGGACGAATAACAAAGCTTCATGTTTTCCTTAATCATATCACACAGACAGCCCACGCTCACACTCGATGCCTACTCGTTATAAATGGTAATATAGCCAGCATCTTGCGAGTGTCGTCTAATAACAGTTGTTTTCCTCGTGCGCCGTGCGAGCCAGTGCCAGGGGCGGCTGTTGAGGAAAACTCCAAACAACCTCCGGGAAGGTGGATGCCAATATCTGTCCGCGAGGAAAATACTGACGCGTTTCGATAGGCCAAGGTCGATCAATTGGTTTTTGGAGTTCCTTATGGTGATGTGGATTTGTAATAATAATAAGTAACTAAAGCAGCAAGCAAGGGGTCAAAGCTAGCAAAATAATTTGGGTTCTGAAATAACTTTTGATTGGGGTTTCAAGATAGAAAAACAAGTTTATAACCGACCTCCACTCTAAAGACAATCTGATCATTGTTCCATCACTGTCGCTCTAAAAATATTAAATACCTAAATAAGTAGGTACCTACTAGGATAATCCGGTTTTATTGCGAAACAAAAAGTTGTAGCACCATCTCTGACGTAGGTTGCGTTTATAAGTAGGTATAGGTATAGTACACTACTGCGAGTTGGTGAAAAAATAATTATAGGTCTACCTAGTAACTTAAACTTACTGAAAGTTCATAAAAATCATACATGCTTATGTAGGTAGGTAGTAAAGAAAGTGTAAGTGTATTGGCGCGATGAATGTCATGATCCTAAGCCCCGAGTTCGATGTCCGATTACGACTAATTAAGTAGGTAGGTAGGTATCACAACTTTCTAACGCGTGCTGTAAGTCCTCTTAAATGCCAATTAGCTTGGGCTTGGTGACTGAACCACACTGAACCTTACAAATCATAATTGGCAAAAGCTAGACAATCAAAAATTATTGAGCAGGAAAACAGCGCTTAAAATAGCTATTTAGTGGGTAGGTAGGTAATTCTTCGTAATGTCTAGTTTTGGCAATTCGTGGCAATCATTAAAGAAGATAGCTACTACCTACATAATTATTGCTAAGTAAATAAAAAAAACTAAATGAGCTAAGATTCCATTTCTTGGGCTACTTACTTAATGGCAGCTTCATCCAAAAGTATATTTTTATATTTGGTAATAATTAGGTAGGTCCTACCTATTATTAATTACATAAGAGGTAGGTAACTAATTTTGATCATTTCAAAGTATCAAAATACTAAGGTACTTTCAACTTAATATTAGTGTTTATTACCAAGATATAAAGCTTTAAAAGAAACCTTCAATGGCGGACAGTCGCCGCTCAGCCCAGACCCAGTTCAATGAAACCGCGCGGGTAAGTAGTTGGGCAGGTAGCACTTCTAGAAGCCATCCAGATAATCCAGTGTATCATAGCAAACTTATAATTTCCATGCAAGGTGTCATCATGACAGGCGAGTAAGGCTGTGTTTACCCGCTACCTGCGACCACCTGTGTGAGCGCGGGGCTGTCAGCGCGGGGTGATTTACCCCTGGAATGGGGTAACAATTTTATACCGTAGCTTTAGATAAATCAAATCAAATCAAATCAAATCAAATCACTTTATTTGTAACTAACTTTATTGATAACTCATTCATTACTAGATTATAAGATATTGTTATCTCATTTTTACTGGAAAATTAAACTGAAACTTATTATTGGTTTTATAGTTTGAAAAATACGTCATCATTCCACTACGTTATCTTTAAATAACATCTAGTCGGGCCTTGTCGAGCGAGCCTTTGAAAAAAACAAAGGTCCCATTTCAAATAAATAAATCATTCGGATGAAAACATAATTCAGTTTAAATAATTCAAGTTTAAATCATTGTGTGCTAATAATTCTGCTATTTGCAATTATTTTGTGTGGTTTTCGATTCATGTGTTTCTATTATTCATTATTATTATATGAATTGTGCCTTGAACATTATTTCACGACCCCGAGACCAACTTCACAAGTATTACATACAAGTATTTAGAGAAATAGGACAGAAAAGAGGTCAAATCAATGTGTTTTAAACTTTTAGTTAGTTCAAAAATAGAACAACAAAAATGTGACATACTCGTACTTCACATAGTAATTTTGATTGTGATAATAATATAAATTCAAGATAAATACAAACAACATAGTTTAGTCTAACCAAGTTAGGACAGATTTATTCAGTGCCCCGATTACGCTATAACGTCTCCATTATAGACGCACTTCTTCGATTTCTTCGATTCTGCGATACGGATTGGTCAATCGGATTGGTAATCGGGGCCCTGGATTCAGGATGCAGATTACACCTACAATACAAAACTACCCACATGGACAAGGTGCAAAAATTCGTCTTACGCTGGGCACCCCGCGCGGCCGGCCGGCGCGCCAGCCAGTCGCCGTCCCGCGCCCGACTTGTTCGCACGCTCGTGAGCGTCATCGCGACAAGACACGTCACCAAACTTTCCCAACTTTCAACGCGTTCCGATTCCCTCTCGCAAGGAATATTGTGCTGTCCTGTTGTTCTGTGTTGTGTTGTTGATGTGGTGGATCGTGGTATGAAAATGCGGGGCGCCGGGGAGGCGTTCTGTCTTCTGCTGGTGGCCACGGTTGCCGCGGCCCAAGTCGACACGAGGCATCTATCAGGTCAGTTGAGAAAGTTCAGTTTTGAAAATGGAACGGCTCGAAAGCGACCTTTTTGCTGCCGACTTTTGGGCGACAATTGTAAAAATTGCGTTTTGATGCACTTTCAATTGGAATCGCACTTTTGCTAAAAGTAGGTAGGCCGTAGGTAAATACATTTGAAGCTCGTTAGACTCTGTTTTGTCCCAACTGATGATGATTTGTTAAAAATATATAAGAAACAAGTAAGTAGTCGACAAACTTGGCAAGTTTCGTTAAGTCAATAAGTATTGTGACCGAAATACGAAGCTAATAAGAACCGTTACCTGCTCAGTAACTTGATTCGCGGCTGCATTGAGACGGCGCGTTAACTTAGTTAAACCTACCTACTTCTGAGTGAAGTGTTAGTTTACCTTTTGAAACTGTAAATCAATCGTTGTTTGTCAAAGACTACCCACATAATGAATAATGATAAGCAGGCAGGTAGGTAGGTAGGAGCAATTTGGTAATTTTCTGAGGTGTTAAGCAAATTTGAACGCCTTATGCCCGTTTTCACCATCAATCCCTAATTTTTAAGTGACCCCCCATGGTAACATGTAACAGAAATTTTGTTTTCATATAGGTCACTTAAAATTAGGGATTGATGGTGA